ATTCCAAAAAATTACAAGAGAACAAAAAATTAACATTGTGACTAGAGTTTATTCAAATAAATTAATGCACCATGTTTTGTCAATTGACAAATATGACATAATTGACATAACAAACATACACTTGTACACTGCCTGTCCAGCTGACTGACTGCACCGATCAGCCAATAACACAATATTCCCAATCAACAAGTGCCACTGGCAGGAAGGAAAGGCTTTTTTACAAGTAACCATGGAAACAAGGCAAAGGTGTCCATGCCTTGTGATAGACTGAAACCGAAATCAGCTGTTTTTTGTCCTGCCTGCATTACTTTATTATTTTTGTCTAAAAGATAATATAAAAAGATTCTGCAACAATAGGTCAATCTATAATGACTATAAAAGGGTGTGACTGGTCAACCACAATGGCATTCTGTATATAAGGTGTATTTTTTTTCATTTCGACCACAGATCTAGTGTTTTGAACAAAAAACATCTGTGAACCATATAAATAACAATAACGTTAATAAATGTGCTTAAATTCATTGAATTCATAAATAGAACCGTAACAATAGTTTTCATTTTTAGTCCCCAAATTATACTGCAATCAAGGGTCAGATTAATCATGTAGACACAAGGACAAAGTATCTTAAGAAATTGTCATAAAAATATCGTCACATGTGTAAGAATGAGAACTTATTGGAACCCTCAACTCAAAAGTGACGGAAAGATTTCAGAGGTCTTCTGGAAGCATATTTTTAGATAAAGATGATACAAATGTAAGGTAAAATTTGCTCACCATTTATTACATTTTCTCTTGAAGTCTTGACGCTTTTCGCAATTTTTCATAACCTTACTAAAATGTTTCGGTTACTGAAATATTTTCACATTTTCAATGGGTCCAAAATGGCTCATCATACCTTGTTCTCTGTACAGCTGGACTCTTAGGTCAGCCCTTCTTCCCAAAGCAAGAGAGTTAACCGACTAAAAGTCTGGTTTCCACCCTCGCCGAACTAGGCTGGTATTATGAAAATAATATTTTGGCTGGACTAACGAGTCTATGCATAGTCCAATCAAATCGCACAACGAAATCAAAATCCGGTTCGTCAATTGTCATGCAGATCTCGATCGATCAGGATTTGCACAGCGTGTGCACCACCAACTTGTCAACAGATATTTTCCAAATCTTTTAAAAGTTTTAATCAAGGTGCTCACATGATTTGATGCACTGTGCAATGTAAGACCCGTTTTCTCACAATATAGATCTTGATTGTCGATCAGATCGTCTTGACTGGGCGCCGCCATTTTGTTTGAAGCAAATGCAAGTGATAAGAGAGGTAGAATCTGTTCGGTCCATAGGAGAGGCATAGAAGGGACTTAACTCGAAACAGCCACTGGTGGCGCTACGATCAAAGCCAGGAATTCCAGCCTAGTTCAGCAAGGGTGGAAACTGGACTTTTAAAGTCAGTTAACTCTCTTGCCTCGGGAAGATGAGGTCAGTCAGGACATCTTGAAACCATGCGATACCTCTGATATGATACCTATAGTGAATATACCCTGTATTGTCACATCTCCTGTGTACGACTAGTCCAGTAACTTTTACACATCATCAACAAGTGTCAGGAAGGCTTGCATCAGTACACACATCACTGACAAACACAACAAAACTAAAAGTGTCAAACATATTAGTAGTGTGAGTGAGTGAGTGTTGGTTGTTTAACCAATCTCATTAAAATCAGATCTCAGTTCTCGCTACCGCTAAACAAAGATCTGAGGACATCCCATTAGGGGTCATGTCAGAACGACCTTTCATCCGACCAATCAGAGCGTCGCTTACCAGATCATGAAAGTGACGGTCAGAATGTGATTTCTAATCATGCAAGCTCGATAACTTTAATACGGGGTAATCCGATCAATAGTTATGGGCTTAACGACTAAATCTATACAATCTAGACCATATATTAACCATTGGAGAATGTTCTTTTGTTCAGGTTTCAAATTTTTAAGCAAGAATTTGTCAAAATATGTTTCTAATTGTAGTCGCCAGTTTGAAATTAGTGCCGTAAATAACGAGAAAGCTGCCTTCTGATTGGCTAATGTTGACTTCTTGTCAGTGCTTTCATTGGTCGGTCAGAGTTCGCGGAAGGTCGATCTAAAGTGACCCGTAATGGGATCTCCTCAGATCTTTGTTTAGCGGCAGCGAAAACTAAGATCTGATTTTAATGAGATTGGTTGTTTAACGCCACACTCGGCAATATTCCAGCTATATGACTACAGTAAATAATCGATTCTGGACCACAATCAATGGATTTAAAACGACCATTGATCTATACAATTGGGATATGATGACATGCATCTACCAAGTCAGTGAGCCTGACCACCTGATCCTGTTAATTGCCTTGCACGACAAGCATGGGTTGCTGAAGACTTATTCTAACCCGGATCTTTATGGGGTAGTAAGTTGGTGAGTTGGTGAGTTTAGTTTAAAACTGTTTGGAAAATGGCATTGGGTATGGTGCTGACAAACATAGAAACATTGTCTTTATTCTTTCAATGCAACATTTTGGTACCGGTTCAAGGACTTGTACCAATACATTGAAAGAATAAAGGATTTGAAATCCATTTATACTACACCTTCTAAAACAAAACAAGACACAAAGCTTAGCATCATCACCATCCCTGGTGCCAAAGTGAGTGAGTTGGATTTTACGCCGCTTTGAACAATATTCCAGTTATATCACGGCGTGTCAGCTTTAAGTGGAAGGAAAGCCCAAAGTGATGCAGATCTGAGACGTTCACCACTTTGGTGAAACCCACGAGCACGGGTATGGTGCTGACAAACCTAGAAACATAACTGGGATTCGAACACACAATCTTAGGAGTCTGTCATGCCCAACTCCTGGAGCCATAGACTACATGGAGAAATAGTTCACGTCTGGGCATCACTAGACTGTAAGCAGTCACCATACGGATAACAAAATGTTTTCCCTGTTCCTAGGTATGTTCCAAAAGCATGAAAAGTTCTGGAAACAATGTTTCTATCTTATTGTTTTGTTTAAGGTGTTTGACACATTATTTACATGATATTATAATATAATGGAGGGTGCTACCGTCTCGGGCATCACATAATAGGGCCTTGCCAACTTCTACAACACATGATGCCCAGCGTCTCAAAATATTGCTAGACAGGTGGGCAAGTTAGCCTTAAAAGTTACAAGTTTCAAATTTCACTAGCTTAAATATGCGAGTTTATTTTTAGTCCCCATAATGTTAGACATGTGTAGTCAAAACTTGTTAAGTAACAAACCTTGGTTAATCTTCGAACTACAGCCAATCAAAACATTTTTGTAAAACACTGTTGCAGTGACAACAAGATTAAGGGGAATAACGCTGATCTCGCAACCTCGATTCGTTACGGATATGAATTTTCTTATTTCTTATGGTCGTATTAATCTACAGAAACGGGAAGACTTTTTTATATTATAGCCAATAAAGGTGTGGATAAAATAACAAGGTTAAAATTTCAGTAGCCAGTCGGGGTTGGTACAATTAAAAAGCTTTAGCCCAACCAAAACATTGCTAGCCATGGTGGTCATTTTGCACACTGATGATCCCTAGTTAAGACATACAACGATACCCTGTTTCATTCAAACCGAAATAGTCTGCAGACCTCCCCTACTGAACCAGTACTCTCAGGAACGTGTATACATCTGTATATCTATTAAAGTCACATCAATACACATGATGCCTTAGGAAGAAAAATGAGGAAAAGTTTCAAATTGCTTCCGTCATATGAAGTATACAGTTACCCATAAAATACCCTGCTTGACAACTGACATTGTATTAAAGAGCCGTGTTCAGTGTGTGCTCAGTAATGTTTTTTCTTGGTGGGAAAATACAAAAGATGTTCCTCTTGCATCACTTTTGTTCTCAATAAAAAACAAAAACAAATATCCTACCTCCCTCAACTTTTGAGGAAAAATGTGCCCGATAAACATTAAACAAAAACTGATGAAGCCTTTGGCATGTAATTAGGTTCTCAGGAGTGAGCGAGTGAGTTGGGTTTATCACCACTTTTAACAATATTCCAGTTATACCACGGCGTGTCAGCTTAATGTGGGAGGAAAGCCCCAAGTGATGCAGGTCTCAGACGTTTACCACTTCAGTGAAACCCACGGGCACGGGTATGGTGCTGACAAACCTAGAAACATAATCGGGGCGAACCGGGATTCAAACCAACAATCATAGGTTTCTGGCGTGCCCAAGGGACGCAACTCTGCACAGTGAATCGCGGCGCCTCAGACGACTGGGCCACCCGTGCCCCCAGGTTCTCAGGATGCCTTCCAGATACATTTGTGAAATGAATTTAAATCATGGCATGTCAGCCTGATATAGGTAGAAAGTTGAATGTGGCTAAGGTCAAGATGTGAATCACACAAATGTTCAGGATTAATGGTGATGTTGCTGTAGCCTAATACAACGGTAACATAAATATTTAAAGAATTATCATGAAACAATGCTACATAATGGACACATCACAGAACAAAGAAATATCAAAATCACCTGAATCTTGCATTCGGTAAAGAAATAATCATGATAGTGAATCATGCACCAAGGGAGACGAGCGTTACAAGCATGTTAGGCTCAGTGTACTGATTTCCGGAACAAGCAGGAATATTGAAGACATACATATATATTTAGGGACCAGCCATTTATTATAGGGGTGAGGGAGTGGTTTAGTATGGTTTAACTCCGCTTTTAGCATGGCAGGGGGCACCAGAAATGAGCTTCACACATTGTACCCATGTTGGGGAATAGAACCTGGGTTTTCGGCTTGACGAGCGAATGCCTTAACCACAAGGCTACCCGATCGCTATCATATTTTGCTGACCCCCTTACCTCTCCCCCCCCCCCCCCCCCCAAACTCATTTTATGTAACATATTTTCATACACCCCACAAAATACATGTACTGTATTCTACATAATAAGCGCCCAGGGCGGTCTCAGAATTAGAAATAGGGTGCTCTTTTAATAATATTTTTTTGGTGGAAAAAACAGAGTTGAAAAATCGTTAATTTTGTTGTTTATGCTGACAGCCTGAAATGTTTATATACGACAGATAAATTAAGGGAGTATATAATACACAAGAGTGTATTATACCCGAATAAATTTAAGTCTTGTGTACATTGATCAATCGGAAGGGGTGCTAATTGGGATTGTTCACTTGCCAATATATTAGCAAATATCGCTGTGGGCGCTTATTAGAGCGGGGCGCTTATTACGTCAAATACGGTAATATGTTTCCATGATCCTTTTTCAGCCCTCCTTGCCATAATGTCCAATCTCACCATCATCCCTCTCCTGTAAAAAATGGCCAGTCCCTTACAAAATTAAATTATTGATATAACTTAATAAAAGTTTTATCCAGGCTAAGCCCTATTTCCAGGTGTGAGAGACACCTAATTACGGCCAATTGGTGTCAGAAGAGCGACCTATATGTGTTATTTCTTAAACAAATTGAGCAAACATGGAAATGATTATATAAACAAGCATTCAGATATTGCAATTCATCAACGTTTACATGAAACTGACCTATTAACCTTCATAAATGAGTGTGGTCTAACCTCAAAAATTCAAAACCCACCAGCCATGACAGATTAACTGTAGTCATCTGAAAAAATTTGGTGTTCATTAACTTCTTTGGTGGGGAAAATTTCGGGAGACCTTGATTAACTTGCCAATAGATGCAACACTGGTTAATCTGTACCCCTGTCAAACTGAATGTTCTAAAGTTCCCCCCATATTGGCAACATGTCCAATCATAATGTAGAGATCATTAATGCCAAGTCAGGGACCATCTCAATCCAAACATCTCATTGCACCTCAAGCCTCATTGTGACACATAAACGATGACCTTGACATTCATGCTAGCCAATGACATTGTGAATATTGACTATCAACAAACATTGACAAGAGTAGACATGGCAGAGATAGGTATAATAAGGCTGTGTGGTAGACATGTTGTTTTATGTAAGCTATCAATCACACTGTGCATGCATTGTGTACTATGTACAAACTGTTAGGCCAGACTTCTGGGGGATGGGTTACAGATTTTTTGATCTGTTGAATGAAAAAATTAAAATAAACAAATTCCAATTTCAAATATTTTTCTGCATTTCCTCGAAATGTTAAGTGGATGGGGAAAAAAGAGTGGGGATGAATTTAAAAATAAAATTAGTATAGTATTTTAAAGAATTTATTTATATTGTTCGCAACAGTAAATGAATTGTTTTCTTTAACATTGTACTTATTATTGGTCGATGGAATACAAAAAAAACATTGCTGTTCTTTTTTTTCACATTTCAATTTTTGGGTGTAAGCAGATTTGTAAACCAAGTTTTTTAATAAGTCTGGCCCAATGAACATATTTTTCCAGTCAACAGTGCTTCCCATAATGAGATACATTTCTTGTAAATACATGAACAACTTCAACAAATACCGTGGTTTGGAGATAGAGATCTCATGTATAGATTCAAAGATATAATATAAACACTTATAAACACATTTTGTGAATCGTAAATGACAGAATAGGCAAATCTTTCTTATAAATTGAATGATCATGCAACTACCAAGACACAAATATTGCACAACTGACAAAGATTTGTCTGATATATAAATAAACTAACTCTGTAGACTACATAACTCTTTTCCAAATAAATAGCTTTCATTTACTAAAGGCAAAAGAGGCCTCTGCTACAAGTGTGTCTGACAATGGAGTGCCACACTAAAGAAAGAATAAATATTTATCAATTAAACCTTAAAAAACTTCATAACAAACATACATACAAAAAATCTAAGAATTTCTTGGACTACCGTCCCTTGTTTCATGGATTAGCCTTGACTTCTTTTCTAAATAGGAAGATAACTGCATGCAGGTGGTGACATAGAAATAACATCCTTGACTGTCCAGTGTTCAATTTCCATTCCACAACCCAGTAACAATTCAGCACAATAATTTTGTTAGGAGTATTGTTTAAATGAAATGATGATAAAAACAGACCTCCAATCATATTACAGTGTCCTTTCATAATTGAAACAAGTGGTGATGTTACCAGTACTTATGTGTCGAATCTCAAACCCAACCCGACCACCTTGAGTCATATGGACGTTCTTCCCATTTTAGTCCTCCAGTAAACATCTTTTCCAGCTAAAAACATCCATAACAGTCTTCTGTTTTGATTAAATATGCCACGATCCCACGTACGAGTCCAGTTCTGTGCCAAACTCACGTTCAGAAGTGGCTGCCAAAATGAAACATTTGTCCGAGAACAAATCTTTTTCGGCTTTTTTCCACAAATTCACCAGAATACAATTTATCAGTCAATACTTTCACTGTCCAACAATTATACTACCCAAGTTAAGACCACCCAATGTTTTCATATGACTACATAACAACTATAGTCATATGAAATATTCAGCGTTCTTTAACCTCTTTGAGTAGTATCTATGGACTCAGTCGAAGAACAGCAGTCAAGATAGTAACAACATCAACACCTGTATTTACATGACTAGTAAGGCATCAAAGTCTGCCAGTTCCATACAGGAGTAACTTACCACTACAGCCCTCTTGGCGATCTGTTTGACGGTACATGCTTTTAGTAATTGCACTGAAGCCCCATTGCTCTTATCAACAAACTCTTGTGAAACTCTTCCAGAATAAGGTACCGTTTTCGTATTTTCTACCAGACAGAGCGACTGAATTTAGCACCCGACAGTGTGCAGACTAGAATGTTATTCCCCAAAAATTAATGACTCTCATTATTAGTATTGATTCCTGAGTCATAAGTCATCCAAGATGCTCAACAGCCAATCCAAGGTCGGATCCAGCATATTTAAATAGGAGGGGCCCTCTCTCGGTCAATTTGACTGCCTACAACATACTACATTTAGTTTTCAAAAATAGGGGGACCCGCTGGATCCCTCCTCTGGATTCGCCTATGCCATCTACCCATCCCTCTTCCAATCTTCCAAAAAATATCCCATTCCCTATCCCATTAACTACAGCTTGCTGTTTCACCAACCAGCAGAACAACATATGGCAACAGAACCTTCCGAAAAGCAGGTGCAACTCTATGGAATGCACTGCCCATTGATGTCAGGGGATCTGAAGATGTCAACACCTTTAGATCAAAACTCAAGAAATCCTCTTCAAAAGAGCATACGACTGAGCGCTCTTGAGCAGGCAGTATGTCTGGATAGGTAGCACTATATAAATGCGTAATTTGAATTGAACTTAAAATAATGAATATCATTATTTCTGTTGTTCAGTAGGAAGTTTCAGAATGTGAGACGCTATTCAGGGGCTATTCAAGACTGTCCATACAAACTAACCTGTAGGGATGAGTATCGCGCTGAGATATTGCGATGCTCTACTTCTTACGCTACGTACTGACGATACCGCTGGTGTTATGATACACAACAATAAATAAACAGAAAAGAAGGTTTACACAGATTGTGTTCAGTTATTTCCGTGATTTCATAATTACTTCATGAGGACTTTTCACACCAAACATTTGTCCAAACTGGAGACTTAAATAGGTACCACCATGTCCTCATATTCCGCCATGGTTACCATGGTTACAGGTGGTGCTACACTAATTTTGCTGTTACGGGAGGTAACGTCATCAGCTCCAGTTCTATTTATAGCATATCACGATTCAAGAATCGTCTGTACCTAAGTATCAATGACATTGTAGGTATCGGTGAATTGTTACAGCCCCACTCACCAGCATTCCAAACACATCTCTAAAAATGTCCTGAGACAAAGAGAAAAATGTTAAGAATTAGTTTCTAGTCCTGCTTACAAACAAGGCTTTAATTGGAACACAAGACCGTCACTCTGTGTCAGCCAAATTCAAATCCACTGGTGTGGTTGCAGTATTCTACATGTGACCAATTTGTCAATGCACTTTTTCCATTGTGTAGAACAAGGGCTTGCATTATATTACACTCAGGATTATAAATAATATGCAAGAATGACACAGAAATGCAATACAACTTTTGAAAGACCATTGAAAAAACAACAATGAACTTTTCAGATTACATAAACAAATAGAAAGTGACGTGCTGACAAGAAATCAAGTCACTCTTTTCTCGTTTCTTGCTACCTTGAGTTGTCCCTGGTTAAATATGGCGGCACACCGGTTCGCCGGAACGGGCCATGATTGAGTCGGTAATGTTCCTCAAGGTGTTTGACGCTTGACGCTTGCATGTGGCACACCGGGCAAGTGATCATGGCGCTGTTGGCGTGACGTTGCAGGTGCAGGAGAAGATGCTCCCGACGATGGAATGCCTTGGGACAAACGAAACAGTGGAAGCGCTTCTCTCCATGAAGTGTCTTGTGTCGTGACAGCGATGACTTAAACCTGAATACTGCCCCACACAAGTTACAGGTCAGGTTCGGATCATTCTTCGATGGGGTGCTGGGGGACATATCAACATCCCTGCGACTAGATCGGCCATCTTGATTGCTGGATGAAGGACTTGTTTCTGAAAAGTAACCAATGAGTGAGTGAATGTTGTTTAAAGTGAGTGAGTGAGTACGGTTTTACGCCGCTTTTAGCAATATTCCAGCAACATCACGGCGGGGGACATCAGAAATGGGCTTCACACATTGTACCCATGTCGGGAATCGAACCCGGGTCTTCGGCGTGACGAGCAAACGCTTTAACCACTAGGCTACCCGACCGCCCCTGTTGTTTAAAGCCACAGTCAGAAACATTCCAAAATTATGATGGTAGCCTGTAAGTTATCAAGTATATCTGGTCACGTTGTAACATAAGTGAGTGAGTATGGTTTTATGCCGCTTTTAGCAATATTCCAGCAATATCCAGACACCAGAAATGGGCTTCACACAATGTTCCCATGTCGGGAATCGAAACCCGGGTCTTCGGTGTGATGAGCAAACGCTTTAACCACTAGGCTACCCAACCCCCCATGCTGTAACATAAAATATATTGCAATAGATCATATCATATCATGTCCACAATGTACAGTATCACATGTCATGCATTTTGCTGTATATGTAAAATGTTGCTAGAACGATTATAAAAAAAAGGTTTTGTCCCAACAAACCAGTGATTGAAGTTAGGAATAAAACAATTATGCCAAAACACACATCTGACCACCTGTTCCATTCAATCAACTGAAAGGACACCGTGGGAGGAAAATGACCAACAAACAATGCAACAGAAGTAGCTAATACATGACCATGATGACAAACAGTATACCTAAAATACTTCTGTTTCTAGCATTAAGGGGATTAAATGAGGACTGGCCAGCTCGGAGTCAGTATACTATGTCTGAGTGGGGTATTCATGTTAAACTGCGACATGGTATGTCAGCAGACCAGCACCATGAAACCAGCATTAGTCAGGACTAGTACAAGCAGCCACACACACACATGCATGCACGTCACTATTGTAAGTGAGTGAGTGAGTATGGTTTTACGCCGCTTTTAGCAATATTCCAGCAATATCACGGCGGGGAACACCAGAAATGGGCTTCACACATTGTACCCATGTTGGGAATCGAACCGGGTCTTCGGCATGACGAGCGAACGCTTAAACCACTAGGCTACCCGACCGCCCCCACACTATTGTAAGTGAAACAAGAGTTTGCCACTAACATGGCTATATCCCCCGCCCCTGTTGCAGAATTTATGACATAATTAAATCTAAACAAACACTAACCTTTTTTAAACGAGGTGGAACTTGTCATGGAAATTGTGAAAAAAAAGAAGAGTTTGGAACCTAAGTCCATCTTGTTGGCATGGAAACGTAAAAAATAAAAATTTCTAAAATTTCTAGATAGCAAAAGGCACCAGTTCAGCATGTACCTGACAGACCTGCAAAGTTTGATGAAAAATATTGAACGGTTTATGAGTTATGCTCCGGAAACGAACCCTACCCTCACAGAACCTAAGTCCATCTTGATGCCATGGAAACATAAAAAATATAAATTTCTTAAATTTCTAAATAGCAAAAGGCAACAGTTCAGCATGTACTTGACAGTCCTGCAAAGTTTCATGAAAACATAGTGAACAGTTTCTGAGTTATGCTCCGGAAACAAAGCGTGACGGACGGACGGAGCCGGTTTCTATATCCCCCGCCAACTTTGTTGGGCGGGGGATAATAATCTTGAATGCCAAGTTAAAACCCATTTCACCTCACCTTTAAGCAACAATACACCATAAATCAGGGGAGATAACTACCATATGATTATCTGGTCATAAAATAAGCATTGACGGCTCACCTGCGCCACTGTGAAAGCCCTGACTGCTGTCTAGGTACTGGTTGTAGCTGATGGCGTTCCAGTCGATGCCCTCGAGGTAGCCTGGGCTGGACCTGCTGCTGCTGTTGCTGCTGTAGGCAAACTGCTGCTGCTGGAGAAGGTTTCCCGAGTCGGATGACGACGGCTGATTGGTGTAATTCGGACTGTTGAAAAACGAATTGTTAGGTGAAGTGTCGACTGGCTCTAGTTTGATCTGAATTTCATCAAGAAGTGACTCCTCCTTGACAAGTTGAGGATTCAAATTGGCCGATGTCGAATCCTGATGTGTGGTGGTGGAGGTCGATGGACTCTGTGTTTTACTTGAAGATTGGGTTTCATCTTTGCTTATCAGAGATGTTTTATTTCTACTTACAGATGTCTCATCAGAGGAAGCGGTGTCATTTTTTGTGGATGACTCCGGCAGGGAGCTTGAGCATTGTGTATCATGTCCAGTTGGCAGATTGTCCTTTGAGCATTGGTCATTATCACCTGAGGTTTCACTTCTAAACTCCGTTTCTTGGATAGAATCTGATGATGTAGTTTTAGTTTTGACAGTACTACTTTCAGACAAGTTTCCATCACATGTTGAAGTGCCTTCTTCAGAAAGACCTGTAGCCACTCCCTCCTGTCCGACATCTCCTTCTTCCTCCACTACAATTATGTCCCCTTTCGACCTTGAACTTGACTCTTCGTACTGACTAGACAACACCTGCACATCATCATCCATAGCTTCTACAAGCCTACTTTTAACATTTTTTGTTTCTATATCACCCTGATCAGATCTGTCCTCAGGATCTAAATCTGAGAACAAGCTGTTGAGCGACCGTCTGCTTTTTGCTGGAGTTCCAACATTCCCCGATGGGCTGACTGACTGTGAAACAAAGGAACTGCTATCCATCTCGCATGACAAGTTATGACTCTCTGTTTCAGGACTATCCAAATCCATGACAGATTCAGACCCCTGAGGGTGTTTTGATGGTGTCCCAGATTGTGACACACTGGAGGATATTGACAACTCAGACTCCTGAGGATGTAGACCTACAGAACCCAAATACTCATCCTTCCTCCTGTCATCCCGGCTCTGAGCCCCGACAGAGTTGTAGATGCCACTACTGAGGGCAGTCAACAGGGAAGCGGAGCTTCTTCGGAACACCTGTTGCTGTTTGCGTCTGTTTGTCCTTCCTCCAAACAGAGGGCGCTTGAAGATAGGGGTGGTGGAGGCAGCGATGGAGGACGTGGAGGAGGAGGAAGAGGTTGGGATGCGGTCGGTAGAGAGGCTTGGTTTGGGAACGACTAAACATGGTGCTCGTGGTGAGGTATGTTGAGAAGCAGAGAGGTTAGACTTATCACTGGTGGCAGTAGTGAAGGAAGTGCGAGAGATACTGGAAGATGTTCTTGCTGCAGTTTCTGAAGAGTTCTTGGGGTCACTGGTCAAGCTTGTGCCTTGTTCTGTGAAAATAGTCATCGACTTACTTGCCATATCACAGGAACATACAATAACAGAAATCAGGGTCCTACAGCCATTCTGTCAGTGTCAAGTATATAATAAAAGGTACGAGTTTGGATGACATGGTTACAATCCAGGTAAGAGTCAGCAGTCAAGAATCTGCGAGCGGTTATATTTTACACTGTATGTATCTTGAACTAGAGCTATAAATACTACATATGCATTTTTTTCTTTTCTTTTGCGCTGGTATTGAACATACACTGCACATGCTGCTAAAAATAGCCACTCGAAGTCACCTGACTGCCGACCCTTACGTGGATTCTAACCAGGGGATCAAAACTCAATGATTTTCCACTTTATAGGAACTAGAACACATGCTGCTATCTTTGTTAATTAATTATTGCGATATTTCATGATTCTATTTTAAGTGGTGAGGACTATTGTCCTGCTTGTACTTGACAAAAAGTTTGGGCGAGCTGAATAACATGAATTTCGATGGCTGTGACGTTCTCTGCCGCTGTGTATGTTACCAGTGCACAGTCGTTAGCCATGTTTAGCTCAAGTCAGCTGTGATGATCGGACCCACCTAGAACCATGTAGCCGTAGACCTTGTACTCCGCCACCTTCAGATCCAGCCACATGACGAAGTGCGACAGTATCCATGGCTGGGCCCTCTGGACAATGTCACAAAAGGCTTGCTTCAGTGACAGAAGATCAGTCATTGTCAGAGAAGCTTGTTCTGGGCCTCCTAGTTACACTGTACTTGTCATCTCTCTACACCAATTCACCAGCTGCCTGGCAGGAAGAGAGAAGGACTGAATTAATAATAATAATAATAATAAAAAAAAAGTAAATAAAATTAATTCATATTAATATTGCCCAGTATGCATTCCCTGAAGAATGCTCATTGCACTATATAATTATTAGCTTCGTCTACAGATTTGTATGCACCTAAATATAATCATCTTCCTTTGGAGTACACTTTGTTTTTCTCTATGTACAAAAAAAAATGTATTGAAGAACACAAACACTTCAATCACAAAATCTCTTGCTCTCCCTTCTAGATATTTTTGTTTGTAGCATTCAGCATTATTCAAGCTAAGAGTCACGGCGTTCTCTTAATAATTTAAGCCTGAACCAGAATATCAAATGATTGAAAACAGGAACATGGATCCACACGACTGGGATATGATGACATGCATCATCCAAGTCTGAGAGTCTGATCACACAATCCTGTTAGTCGCCAGTTACGACAAGCATGGGTTGCTGAAGATTATTTCTAACCAGGATCTTCATGGATGAATAGGCAAAGAAACAGTCTGTTGTCATTATCTGCTGATTATAGCACTCCAACTAGGGTTGAGGCAAGACTCTTACGTCGTCGTATGAAATAAGAAATCAAAAGAAAACTGATAGTGTCTACTTCATCTCTACGACCTACCGTGAAATACGCTGAGACAGTCTTCACAACCATCGCCCTTGTGTACAGACATGTTAGAAGGAAGTGTCGTTCAAATGATTTGAAATACTGATACTTTAATATCCCAACATAAATAACCAGACCAATACTTGAAAAACGAAGTAAGCACATATCGGGTCGACAATTCCATACATTAATGACTGTGTGACAAGATACATGAATTCATCTGTTCATATATGAATCTTTGTTTTCGTATCGATGTATTTTGCTCTGACAGGTGATGACTTACTTACCTGGGTTTGTCGGCCACTGTCTGGCTGGTACTAAAAGGCACAAATGTAAAAAAACTGGGAACCCTCTGGGAACACAGCCGTTATTGAATATTACATACTACGTGTGATTCTCTATAAGAACGCAACGCATCGTGTTGTGTTCTATTACCGTATCGATAAATGAAATGGGTGTGCGGTCGGAAGTTGAATATAATCGGAACTTCGCTCTAAGCTATATATAGATCTCGGATCGTATGATACCGTTAAGTAATATCGTAAATAGCCGAACATTTCCGAATGTTGGTTTCAAGGGACATAACTCTTACTACCAATTTCCACAATATCTTACAGTTTTAATAATTAGAGTTCAAACCCCGTCGAGATATTTATGTTTTAGCGTATGTTTGGAAACACTTTCGCTGGATATTTCAGTTCTGCGTTGTATTACATAAAGAAAACATCATGTGTACAATTGTAGATCTAATAAACATAACATTTGTTGCGTTTGTTGATTATCTTCGTGGTCAAACAAAGTGATCCCATATCCGCCCTATACTGTAGTACATTTGCTGAAGAAGTGGTGTGTATTATAGTGGAAATAACAGAAGAAACGAAGTTCCACTTCATCTACTTCCATTTTACCTGAAACAGCTAGGAGTTACAAAATGTGTATTTCGAAACAAATATTCTGACTCCAATTTTATCAATATCAATATCTACGTTGAGCTTCACACTTGCGGTAACCCTTGTCTTCAGTGTGCAGAAGAACATGGCCCCATCCAAAACAATTTGGAGAAAAGGGATTCAAATGGACTCAGCATTCTTACGCACGTGGCAGTGAACAGCCTTGACAGGCTTGATACAAGTATATAGCTAACTGTGTTTTATTCGGGATCATTTTTGCCAATATATGGGGCCATTTTCGCCAAAATTTTGGGTCATTTCCACTCAAGTTTGGGTCCATTTTCTACCGGAATGCCTTGGTCCATTTTTGCATGGTGTCATTTTCTCTATAACCCTGATCACCAGCTAAAGTGAACTACTGTTTGTTGTTATATCGTTGTTGTTATCCCAAAGGGTCTCAAATCTACATAAAACAATAATTAGTTACACGACGTGAAGACAATCGTGATGAAAAAACAGAACTGTCAAATCAGCTTATGATGAAAATATAGGTTCACCTGTGGTCTGATATTGAAGGGGGAGATTTATTCCTTTTGAGAAAATGTCAGTTCAACCTTTCAACCGTTCAACCTCAATCGACTTTGAAAGAAACCGAACTGTGAGATAATAATAATAGATACACCAGAATAGCACCATGTTATCTTATCAGTGGCTACTGCACGCCGTCAAATAATGCGCTAATCTTCAAGTGAGAGCAAGCATTATGTCTCGCCTGTGTGGACTCCTCTTGGTTGTCTTAATTGTTGGTATGTACAAACTAAGTCTACAAGCCATCCTGGAAATATGTGCAAGTTAGCTATATGATCCAATTATTTTTATCAATAGTTTTGTAACGGTGCATACGTACACCGACTGGAGCGGGGTTGTGGTGGTGTGAGTGAGTGAGTTAAGATGCATAGTCGCATCGGCAATATTTTAAGACATATTGTGACTGTTGTTTTCCAAGAGCATTCCATCAAATGGCAGTAAAATAACTAGTAATGTATCAGAGATGTTTGTCAAAAACTAGCTAGAAAACAATACTAAGATGGGATTGTTTAACGACGACACAATATATCTCAGGTTATAGACTAATAGCTAGCCAGGAACAAGGAGAAGACAATGGGGACTTACAATACTTCTGCTTCCTGCATTGGTCTCCAGCTGGATTTACATCTTGTCATTAGCTGCTGAGTACTGTTAACACGTTTAATTGTTTTACGTTACTTCAACCCCAGTAGTAGTGGTAGTAGTAGTAGTAGTAGTAGTAGTAGTAGTAGTAGTAGTAGTAGCAGTAGTAGTGAGTGAGTGAGTGAGTGAGTGAGTGAATTGGGTTTAACGCCGCTTTTAACAGTATTCCAGTTACATCACGGCGTGTCAGCTTAATGTGGGAGGAAAGCCCGAAGTGATGCAGGTCTCAGACGTTTACCACTTCGGTGAAAACCACGAGCACGGGTATGGTGCTGACAAACCTAGAAACATAATCGGGGCGAACCGGGATTCGAACCCACAATCATAGGTTTCTGGCGTGCCCAAGGGACGCAACTCTGCACAGCGAATCGCGGCTCCCTAGACGACTGGGCCACCCGTGCCCCCAGTAGTAGTAGTAGTAGTAGTAGTAGTAGTAGTAGTGCATGGTGGTGGTACCATTTAGATGTACAGTCATGAATGACATGACTACACTCTTATATGGACGTACACATGTTTACAATGACCAAGTAAGTTCCCCCACCCCCAGGCCCCGTGGTGTGTCAGCTCGTCATGCCCTGGCAGATGTGTGAGATGCAGTGTCTTAAAGACAACAACGCCACCTGGCCCTACCATGCCGCGCCGGAAATAAACGAACATTGCCGAACCTACTGCAGAGACCACTGGTAAGTTTCTAAAACGCTTACCCCAAGATACATGCATGCTTTTGTTTTTCTTATTTGCTATAATAATAATAATAATAATAATAATAATAATAATAATAATAATAATAATATCATTGGTGTTTGAATATTATGAAAAAGCTATTAACTAAAAACAGTTAGTTACAAGTGGTAGCGTTCTTTGTCATTTGAAGTGTATAGTTTTCAATACTCTGAATGTACAATCTTTCAAATTCTTTAATTTGACCTTTGAAATACTAGTAGACGGTTTTTAAAAATGGTTTTTAGATTTACTGTTCGGAAAGAAATATGAATTCAGATTCTCAGCTGTTGAAATATTCCAAGGAAACCGAACTTTATTATCTGCATCTTCTTTGTCAAACCATTCTTTGGTGCTGAAGTTCTGCATCTTTTCCGTATCCTTATAAATGTTCTTTTAAATATTTAAACTTTCCCTCCAGTTATGCCTAGTATGGTTTTACTCCGCTATTAGCAATATTCCATCAACATCAAGGTGGGGGACACCACAAATGGGCTTCGCACATTGTACCCATGTCGGGAATCGAAACCGGTTCTTCCGCGTGACGAGCGAACGCTTTAACCACTAGGCTACCCGACCGCCCCCAAATGATTGCATATGTTTGTTTAATGTATGTCCAAAACAAGAATTTACTATACAAGTAGTAGTATACACATTAGAACCAGAGCCAGGCCCATTCAGAACGTATATAGCGAAGGGCGATGTGGTGAAAAACGAATGTTTCAAGAGAAATGTGTATGGCTAAGTATATACTTTCGGTGTGTATAATTTTGAATGGTTCTACAGACCGTACTGTCATCAGGGTATCTAACCATTGCCTGGCCCTGGTGTAGAATCCTCCATCCCGTTGTTAGGCGTTTGCTGGCGCAACTGGCCACTATGGGTGGCGGCCCGTGAAGATCCGGGGTAGAATAGATCTTCAGCAACCCATGCCTGCCGTAAAAGGCGACTATGCTTGCCGTAAAAGGCGATTATGCTTGTCGTAAGAGGCGACTAACGGGGTCGGGTGGTCAGGGTCGCTGACTTGGTTGATGCATGTCATCGGATCCCAGTTGCGTGGATCGATGCTCATGATGTCAATCACTGGATTGTCTGGTCCAGACTGGATTATTTACAGACCGCCGTCATATAGCTGGACTATTGCCGAGTGTTGCGTTAAACAACAAAGAAACAAAAACAACTGTGGGTGGCAAGGACTGTACAGCCGTCAATGGAAACCTTCGAATAGAGTGAGTGGGTGGGGGTTGACGCCGCTTTTAACAGTATTCCAGTTATATCACGGCGTGTCAGCTTAATGTGCATGGGAGGAAAGCCTGAAGTGATGCAGGTCGAAGACCTTTAATTACTACTTTGATGGAACCCATGATAATGGGTGTCGTGTTGACATACCTAGAAACACAATCAGGGCCAAATGCGTCGCCGAAGATGAATGGGCCATCCATTGCTGCTACTTCAAAGAAAAACTATGGAATGAACGTGTGGGCCAATCTCATTAAGTCTCAATCTCATTCAAATCAGAGAACTAACATCTGATTTTAATCAGATTTGGGCCAGTCTTCAACTTCAAGCTACATACATGTGCTAAGCACCTTCTGAAAACGACCATCTTGTCAGACAGATTCGGCCCATGAACCTTCTGGTGCCATGGTCTGTGGTGACGACTAATTCCTGTAACACAGACAGCAGGAAATATTTTTTATTCAGTGAAGATTTACAACAGTTATAGATAACGGCAATTGAGGGCATGTATTGTAGTCGGTGGCAGGTTTCTTTAAATCAGACCGCCTCCGTGGTCTAGTGGTTGAGCGTCCGCCCGGAGAGCGGAAGTTCCGGGGTTCAATTTCCGGCCGCTTCATACAAAAAATAAATTAAAAGACGGTACTTGTTGTTGCTCAGTATACTGTGTCTGAGTGGGGTTTTCATGTTAAAACTGCGGCATGGTATCACAGCGGGTTAGCACTATAAAATCGGCATAAGCCCGGACTAGCTAGCACGCACACACACACACACACACACACACACACACACACACACACACACACACACACACACACACACAGAGTATAAGAGCAATAATCATGAACGAGACGTTAAATGAAAACTCTATGTTAACACGAATATTTTACAACATATCGTCACCCGTGAAGATCCGGGGTAGAATAGGTCTTCAGCAACCCATACTCGTCGAGAGAGGCGACTATGCTTGTCGTAGGAGGCGACTAACGGGATCGGGTGGTCAGGCTCGCTGACTTGGTTGATGCATGTCATCGTATCCCAATTGCGTGGATCGATGCTCATGATGTCAATCACTGGGTGAACACGATGAGACCATTAAAGTTGAATGAGTAGGACCAGGTTAAATGCACGTGGCTCGGTTCCTTACATTAGTGGAGGGTCAACTTAAGTGGAGCAAACCAAACGTTTCCTTCATACGTGTCTACAATATAACTTTTAACTGATTTTTAAACAGTCAAATGAATCATCTCAATGTCGTCACCTTGTTATCTAGCAATGTAAGACAAAGTAAATTTAGGAACAAAGGGAACTATATAGCTCTCAGTTGATTTTATCTTGTGTTTGATTTTCACTTGAAAATGTCTTGAGTTGGCAATATTGTATTGAATTATTTATTTTAAAAAAAATATCGGCACAGATTTCAAACATTGTAGAGGTCATGTGGTTGCAAATTTATTTATCATGCGTGCGTGCGTGCGTGCGTGCATTTATTAATAATATTTTTGTACTTAACCAGATATTGCTTTATTTCAGGAAGGACATGTTTTACAACACCACACTTACGGGCTGACAGAAGGAAGCAAACGTCTGTAATATGACACTGCAGTGTTAATAAACCCAACGTTTATAGTACGATGCAGCGATCCAGTTTGTTTATTTATTTCAAGTTGAAAAAGTCTTTCGTCTTTCGCGGGGAACACCGGACCTTAGCTCCACCCATTGCACCCATGTGGGGAATTGAACCCGGGCCTTCGGCGTGACGAGCGAACACTTTAATCACTAGGCTACCTCAACCTGGCTACCTGGAATATTTGTCATACGGGTTTATTCACAAACGCTCTGATTCCAACCAGGGAAACACATGGCATACAATGGGTATACAATGATGTGTATGTGAAAAAACAAGGAGCTAAAACAAGGACAGGTCGACTCGGGAGTCCGTATACTGTGTCTGAGTGGGGTATTCATGTTAAAATGAGGCACGGTATCTCAGTGGGCTAGCACTATAAAATCGGCATTAGTCCGGACTAGTGCACACAGCACGCGCGTGCATGCACGTCGCTATATAAGTGCAATAATCTTGGACGTTACACAATTGACTTCCCTGATAGGCGTGATCATGTCTGGCGACGTTGAAATGAACGTCAAGCCAATGTCAACCTGAGACCTCATGACAGATTTGGCGGTGGATCGGTTTTGGTGTTGGGTGGCATCACTATGACTGATCGAACTCCATACTGTGCAAGGAAGGGTCACTGGGCAGTGCCGTCGGGACCACACCCTTTGTTGTCCCGTTTGCAAGGCGTGTGGGTCGACGTATTGTCTTTCAGGACGACAACGCCCATGCTCATCGTGCACGAATCGTCAATGCTCACCCCCAGAAGCACAACATCCAAAGAATGCCAGGGTCAGCAATGAGCCCAGACCTTTCCCCCACTGAACACACCCGGGACATGATTGGGAGGCGTGTACGTCAACGTCATAGGCCGCTGACCATGTTGGCTGAACTTGGCCAGGCGCTGCAAGAAGAGTCGGACAGACTCTCTGAAATCGCCATTAGGAGACTCACGGGCAGTATGTCTTGGCGAGTGAATGAATGTTTGTCAAATCATGGCAGTATTACGCACTACTGATCCAAAAAAAATCAAACTTCCCATGTAACCCCTATCGGCCTTCAAGATCACTGGCGGTCATAACATCTACTGTCATACTCCACTACCGATTGTAATGTATTCCTAACTTTTTCATTATCATACAAATATGACTAGAAACTTATATCTCTTTTAATATTGGTACTTTTAAGTTATTTCCGAGTATCCCCCACTTTTTAAAGAGTACAATTCACAGTTCAGGGCGTCACGTGGACAAGCGAAGTGTCATCTGAATAGCTGCCATATCTGTCTCACAGAATATTTACGTGGGGGTCTTAAGGGACCAACCATATCATATTCGGGGAGAGGGTTCTGGGAGTTTTTATCGAGATTATATATTTTTCAGCTATAGTAAAAAAAAACAGATAATTTTATATTTATTTTATGAGCCTGAATTTAAAAAAAAATAATGTCATTTTTGTGGCAGGGTATTGGAATTGTTTTTTTTTATATGTTTGGTCACCAATGTATGGTATGTGACGTTGGGTTGGGGGTGATTAGGTCGTTGGTGAGGCAAGTTTATCTTTACCCTCAATTAAAATAGTGAAACTATCACAACTTAAATGATCACAGCATGGCTTATGTAACACACACACAGCTGTCTGTAAATAATGGCATCTGGACCAGATAATCCAGTGATTGACATCATGAGCATCGATCCACATAACTGGGGTGTGATGACAATCAGTCACGCCACGGAGCCTGACCACCCGATCTTATAGCCAACTCTTCCCACAAGCATAGGTAGCTGGGGACCTATACTCTTACCCGGAATCCCAATGGGTGAACACGCACTGGATATGAAGTCACAGCATACCTTTTTTTAACACACCATTTCACTAGTTTTTACAATTAACTTGATAAATGAATCCTTAGCACTGACAAACATATTTAACTGGAGTTTTGTTGAATTTCCTATATTTTACTTATGGAATACATGTACTTGTGAGAAGGAATACTGGGTTGTCACTATTAAATCCCAAGTGTGGAATGATACATCTATTACACCTCCAGCAGAAATGTTCCTATTCATAGTCGTGGGCACGGGTGGCCCATTTGTCTAAGGAGCCACGATTCGTTGTGCAGAGTTGCGTCCCTTGGGCACGCCAGAAACCTATGTTTCCTATTCATAGTCGGGGGCACGGTTTGCCCATTCGTCTAAGGAGCCACGATTTGCTGTGCAGAGTTGCGTCCCTATGATTGAGGTTCGAATCATTGAGGTTCGAATCGATTATGTTTCTAGGTTATCAGCACCATACCCGTGCTCGTGGGTTTCACCAAAGTGGTAAAACGTCCGAGACCTGCATCACCTCGGGCCCTCCTCCCACATTAAGCTGACACGCCGTGACATAACTGTAATACTGTTAAAAGCGGCGTTAAACCCAACTCACTCAATCACTCGAGTCATAGTCTGGTTTTATTTCTTCAATGTCATTAAGTTCCTGTGTATGTGGTGAAGGTTCTCGCGTTGACCCGCTCCAATATCCCAATGATCTTACTGTTCCTCCAGAAAGAATAGTATTCCTTTGACGGCGTTCCCTGTCATAAACTGTCAACCCAAACACTGAATTTATGGTCTTAGCTTCTCTGGGATCCTGATTCTCTCCCTTGTTTATTTCCGTCAAAACCGTTTGGGTAAACGGCATCATGTTCTTGTCATCCACCTTTTGCCCCACTTGTTCAACTGCCTTCTTCACCAGACTTTCTATCGTCTTCCTGGACATCAAGGATAGGTGTTCAAATTCCTTCTTCACATCATCTTCAACGGAGAACTTAGATTTGGTGACCTTACTTTTGTACAACTTAACTGCTATCTGACACATTTTATGCCAGAGATTTTTGTTCCCCAAGTCATGTTTCATGGTACTCTGCCGATCCCTCCTTCGTCTCCTGTCCTCTTTCCTCTCGTCATCCGTCATTATTGTTGTTGTTTCTGAGCACTTGTTCGTATAGTCATTAATAAGTCTGCTCAAATCGTTATGCTGAATTTCGCTATCGGTTCCTTTTTGTTTGCAAATGTGTCCAAAATTAATTTCCTTTCCAGCAACAATTTGCAACAAAGTTGAAAACCGATGAAACAGCATAGCAACAAATTGTACTACCAATAACAGTCCAAATACAACTATGAAAGCTATTGACAATGGCTGTACCTTTTCCGGCTTGAATGTAGCATCTGGGCAGGGCAGTTCAAAGGCCATGTTTGGTGTATACTGTGCAATGCTCTCAAGTGCAAACAGCAGAATGATAAAAACAGCATTGATGAGGATGAATCCGAGACACGACGTGTTCCGAAGTGCAGCCAGGTTGTCTGCAAGGTTTGCATCCTTTTCATCAATAGGCGTTAGATATTCACTCATAAGGCTTAACCAGAATTTGTTTTCTTCTTCAGTCAATTCCTCAGAGACGCCTTTGTAAGGATCCAAAAGGTCGCAGATGTCTTTGATCTCATCTTCTGTAGTAGGAAACAAATATGGGTTAGTCTTGTTCCAAATATTAAAACATTCGAATTGTGAACTTGGCATCATTAAAAAAAATTTAAATCGTGTTTGTGTAAAAGATTGGTTGTTTACAAAGTTTCATATTTTTATGGTGGATGGTATAATCTTAAGAGATGTTCTAGCATCAATGCCTCCATTGACAGACCTTCATAGAAGGTCGCACTAGAACGTTACTTGTAATTAAAGATGGATTCATCATAATACGATATCAATAAAAATATACACAGGGTTACATGGAAAGAGTTTGTACGAGTCAGCATAAACTTGTAACTTATTAGAAAGAATATTAACATGTTTAGTTTTTAAAAAAAAGGCAAATTGTGTGATTTGTATAATGTTTGTTTGTTTAACGCCGCACTCAGGAATATTCCAGTTATATGACGGCGGTCTGTAAATAATCGAGTCTGGACCAGAAAATCCAGTGATTGACATCATGAGCATCGATCCACGCAATTGGGAAACGATGACATGCATCAACCAAGTCAGCGAGCCTGACCACCCGATCCCGTTAGTCGCCTCTCACGACAAGCATAGTCGCCTCTTAATGATTGGTTGGTTTGTTGTTTAACGCCGCACTCAGTAATATTCCCGCTACATGACGGCGGTCTGTAAGTAATCGAGTCTGGACCAGACAATCCAGTGATTGACAACATGGGCATCGATCCACGCATCAACCAAGTCAACGAGCCTGACCACCTGATCCCGTTAGTCGCCTCTTACGACAAGCATGGTCGCCTTTTACTGCAAGCATGGTTTGCTGAAGACCCATTCTACCCCGGATCTTCACGGTAGATGTGTATAATGAAATGAAGGAAGAATGAGTTAGCCAGACACCTTATTAGCAATATTCCGGCCATATCATTTCGAGGCAACCAAAAGGGTTTCAAACATTGTGCCTATGTGGGGAATCAAACCCAGGCCTTCAGTCGATGAGCGAACACTTTAGCCACTACGCACCGCCCCATGAATGAAAAACTGTGTTGGAAAAGAAGATGGTATGCGTGATGACATGGTGGATGATAACATGATTAAATGATTAAATGATATAGATGGAAATATTGGCTGCAATAACAACAATTTCGGACCGCCGTCACATAGCTCGAATATTGCCGAGTGTGGCGTTAAACAACAAACAAAAACAACAACAATTTCTGAAATGGCATGATAAAAGATGTGGTTGTGATTTTTATAGGATGAGGAAGCACAACTGGAGTAACAACGAGTGAAATACAACAAAGAGGGTAACAAAAATAAGGTTCACTTACTGTCTGGCAGATCAGTTTTTCCCTTCGAAAGCTCCTGTTTACAATTCTTATCCAATGGACAACCCTTGTCCTTCTGTTTTTCTTCAAGAAGAGGCCTTTCTGCATCATCACCATCAATTATCCTTAACAACCGTGACAGAAGTCTCTTTGCAGGTTTCATTTTCTTTTTAGATTCACCTTTCTCCTGGGCCCCCTTGGACTCACCGCTGTCTCTGGTCCCCCACGACACGTCGTTCAAGTTTGCCAGGGAGTAAATCACCATGAGAAGCGTGGTACTGGGGATGAGCAGGAAGTACAGTACGCCGTAGAAGAGGCACGTTATTTCTTGGGGATGAAGCAGTGCAGAGATGACGAAGATGCTGGCCACAAGTGTCAGGAAGATGGTGGAGACTGAACAGAAGCCACTTTCAGCTGCCTGTTTGATGATGCCGACCAACACAACTGTCATAAGCAGGCAGTAGCATATTGTCAGAATCAGAGCGAAAGTCAGCTGGAAATAAAAGTCAGAACATGAGAAGACAGGGAGGGGGTCTTTGATAGGCATTTTGAAGACAGTATTTCATGGTTTGGTTTGGTTTGTTGTTTAACGACGCACTCAGCAATATTCCAGCTGTATGACGGCGGTCTGTAAAGAATCGAGTCTGGACCAGACAATCCAGTGATTGAAATCATGAACATCGATCCACACAATTGGAATCGATGACATGCATCAACCAAGTCAGCGAGCCTTACCACCCGATCCCGTTAGTCGCCTTTTACGGCAAGCATGGGTTGCTGAAGACCTATTCTACCCCGGATCTTCACGGGTCGTATTTCATGAGGACATATTTACATCGATTTCAAATTTCGTATTCACAATGCTTCTTGCCAAACCACTTTGTGAATTATTTGACGTTTACATTACGAAAGGGCCTTAAACACTTTTTTCTCTAAAGTGGGGAGAGAGGTAGGATTTTAAAAATATTTCTATGTTTCCCACCCCAATACCAACAAACACTAGATCTTCTGGATACACATTAACCTCGTCTCTGCAATACACGTCGGTTGTCAAGCATGTCATTTTGAATGACAGAGACGCAGGAATTTTGAAAATTATTTGTATCGCCAATGAAAATGAAAGACCCGCAGGATTAAAATTTCGCGCTGATACCCGAAAAATATCATATTTTTTCAACCACACCGAAGACAGAAATCCAGATTTATTATCCAAAACTGGTTCCTGCAGAAGATGTTGTTCAAGTGAGTTTGCATGAAATTGCATCACAATGACATCACAATCAAATGAATTCAATAATCTCGCTGAAGCTGTTTCGCCTTACATTTTCCACACAAGACACTGCCTATTATCAATTACAAACTGAAAAAGTTGGAAGAATAATTTTGGTAATATGATATACTGGATATTACCTCGCGTCTATTGATCTAAAATATAATGAATAAATGTTTGAAACCTCTATCTACTTGACGTATTGATCTATATAGGTAAAAGGTGACTAACAGGATCGGGTCTTCAGGCTCGCTGACTTGGTTGATGCGTATCATCGTATCCCAATTGCGTGGATCGATGCTCATGATGTCAATCACTGGATTGTCTGGTCAAGACTCTTTATTTTTTTACAGACCGCCGTCATATAGCTGGAATATTGCTGTGTGTGGCGTTAAACAACAAACAAACAAAACCAAAACATTATTAAAAAATACAGGAAAGGTGAAATTCTCTCTATTGTGTATCATTGAAAATGAGGACATTTCAAATTCCAACTTTGTCTTTGCTGCTCTTATCACAGAAATCATCCAATAAAGCACGATATAAAACCAAAATATAATATTTTTTTCATTTCTTCTATAGTCTATATAGTCAGAATCGTACAATCGACTCTGCTATATGCAGATATAGAAAGGGTTTTGTCGCTTTATTTCTTCTCTTGAGACAATAAACCGTTGTGAAAATATCGCCTTTGCAATACACAGTGAACAGTGTAAATTGTGAATATGACACATCATAGAATATCATAACCTTGTCCTTGTCATACCTGTATATGCATATAGTATATATCGATTTTAGACCCTGACTGAAACACCCGAGACAAATTAAGACAAAAGTGAATACTCATTTGACGGGATAACCTCACCTGGATTTTTGTACTGGTCTTGAAACAGAGAATGACGAATATGATCAGGGGGGCCAAGTTAATGAGAAATGACGTCGTAAGGGTAATGGCTTGAAAGCTGGAACTGATAGCCCCGACTATAAGCATGAAGATCGTCCCTGGGGTGACGACTGACGAGGCAAACAGTCCAAGCTGATAGATGATATAGAGAATGCAAATGTCGGAATTGTTTCTGGTGGTTGTTTTCCAGGACATGATGAGGTCAAGAACATTGATCATGGTGGAGGGTGTCCATCGTCGCCTCTGCTTGAAAAATTCAAAGAAATCCATCGGGGCAAAGGTGAAGGAGTCTGATGCGGCACAGTACTCAACCCGATGTCCTTGTTGGAGAAGTAAAGTACACAGCCATCTGTCTTCACCTTGAGTAAAGTGTAAGAAAGTTAAGTAACATGCGTCATACGACTATTGCTCAAACGTTGTTTGATCAGTGTTACAGCATTCAAGACCTCGGTAAAGCTTTCAAAAGTTTTCTGGTGTTTTCATTAGTGACCATAAGCTGTCCGATGCAATTCACTATTTTGACCTGTACATATGTTCCGCGTGTTTAGATGAACACTTGACTTGCCTTTGCATGTGTTTGTGAAGGGTGCCACCGGTGGGCTCACCCTTACGCGAAACCTGGTATCATCACCATTTAATAGTGATTAATAAAACACAAGCTGATATAGTCATACAGTGGACTGTTTAACAAAACTATTTCTCATGCAAATATCTGAGACCTGCATCACTTCGGGCTTTCCTCCCACATTAAGCTGACACGCCGTGATATGACTGGAATAGTGTTAAAAGCGGCGTTAAACCCAACTCACTCACTCACTCATGCAAATATACGTGTATCTAAATGATTCCCAAAGGGGGCCGTAAAGATCCGGGGTAGACTAGCTTATCAGCAACCCATGCTTGCCGTAAAAGGCGACTATGCTTGTCGTAAAAGGCGACTGACGGGATCGGGTGGTCAGGCTCGCTGACTTGGTTGATGAATGTCATCGTATCTCAATTGCGTGGATCGATGCTCATGATGTCAATCATTGGATTGTCTGGTCCAGACTCGATTATTTACAGACCGTCGTCATAAAGCTGGAAAATTGCTGAGTGCGGCGTCAAACAACAAACAAACAAACTAACAAAGCAGTTTTAGTGGGCATGGGCAGATAACTGGTGTTGGCAGTTGGCACTAACCTTATGTCGGCTTCAATATCTAATTTGAATTTTCATCAGTTGCCCTGTTCCTGGAAGCAATTTCAGTGGGTAGTCCAATTGATTGAGATTTAATTTGTTTGGAGAAGAACAATGTCTGTTCTATGCCTTTATGGAGGTGTTAAACGATGTGTAATTTCTTAGTTTCATAAGGTGCATCGTCAAGACATGGCTGGAATATTGCCGATGTGACGTTAAATTTCACTCATTCACTCATAAGGTGTATGTATGGGATATATAATGGAGAAATCACTCTCCGACTTAAACCATGTAATGTTTGATATATAATTTCTCTTGGGTTTTCATAATGACCTAAAGATGCGTCAGTTTTACTTGTTTATACATAAAATGCACGTTTAGAATGACCAGCAAACTCCTGGCTCAGAATCAACTGCAACAACAATAGCCTAACGTCTTCACCCCTAACAGACCCGTGATTCCGGGGTAGAATAGGTCTTCAGCAACCCATGCTTGCCGTAAAAGGCGACTATGCTTGTCGTAAAAGGCAACTAACGGGATCGGGTGGTCAGGCTTGCTGACTTGGTTGATGCATGTCATCGATCCCAATTGCGTGGATCGATGCTCAAGATATTAATCACTGGATTGTCTGGTCCAGACTCGATTATTTACAGACCGCCGTCATATAGCTGGAATATTGCTGAGTGCGGCGTTAAACAACAAACCAACCAACCAATCACCCCTGACTAACTCACCCAAATCGTACTGTATCTTCTCTGCGGCCTCTGACACGGTCTTGGTGTAGGATCGCATCACGTTGGCATCCATGAGAGCAGAGCCCCGGAACAAGCTGAAACATCCGGGACTGCACAAGACACACCCCAGCATGTTCTCTGATGCCTTCTGGAGCCAGTGACTCACTGCATACTCAAACTTCTGGTACCACACCATCGGACCTGGAAACATACAATTACACCGCTTTTAATAGTATTTCACATATTGCATGGCTTGTAGACTGCGTGAGAAAGCACAAAGTGGCTTTCACAACTCATGATTGGCGCTGACAAACAAAGCCACTAGAGCATGACGCACCTGGGAATCAAACCCACAATCACCGGATCCGGTCACTACTGCACTCTGCACAGTGAAATATGACACCCATACGTAACTCCGTTGTTGTAGGAGATGAGTGATTAAGATTTGATCAAGACGTACACAATCGTGTCTGTGAGAGTATTTATAGAACAGATATACTCATGAAAAGTAGTTCTTAAGAGGCAGACCAATAAATATTCTTCGTGTGTGTGTGAGACACCCCCACACACACCAAATTTGGTTCAAAACAGTAAAACAAATCGGTCACAGATTCAACATTTGTGTTCGGGGACGAACTAGTGTGTGAGTGTGTGAGTTGAGTTTAACGCCGCTTTTAACAGTACTCCAGTTATATCACGGCGTGTCAGCTCAACGTGGGAGGAAATCACGAAGTGAAGCAGGTCTCAGACGTTTACCACTTCGGTGAAACCCACGAGCACGGGTATGGTGATGACAAACCTAGAAACATAATCGGGGCGAACCGGGATTCGAACCCACAATCATAGGTTTCTGGCGTGCCCAAGGGAGGCAACTCTGGACAGCGAATCGCGGCGCCTTAGACGACTGGGCCACCCGTGCCCCCTTTAGAACTAAACATAAGTATTCCCTACCAGAGCCTACAGGATGAATCCTGCCACAGGCAGCTCCTATGTAGGGGTTACCCTTCATCCTGTCGAGAAGGATCCGAAGAGCATCAGGCTGGAAGTCCACATCTCCGTCAAGTGCCAAGAGGAAGGTGTTTTGGGCTTTTTCCATTCGCGCCTCTTCGGTTTGATAGATTGGATTGTCTGTTATGCCATGCTTCAGGAAGTAATACATGTACATCACCTACAAACAGGCACAGGGTGTCCTCGGGTCAGTTATAGTGGTCTTAACTTCTTAAAGTTTAGCTTCTTTAGCTTTCAAATGCTGTTTCATGTTACAATTGTAGTGAAGTCACAACGTGCAGTACAAACTGGTAGTAACGTGTTTGTTTGACGTTTAGCGCGTCAGTGATGATAGTCCGTGCCATCGCCGAGCCTGACCTCAAAATCTTTGAGTGAGAGAGTAAATGAGTATAGTTTTACGTCGCTTTTAGCGATATTCCAGCAACATCACGGCGGGGGACACAATAAATGGGCTTCACACAGTGTACCCATGTCGGGAATCAAACCCGGGAACGCTGCTACCGGACCGCCCCAAAATCTTAGACAAGCACAGGTAGTTAGGAACCGGTTCAAACCAATAATCGACAAATGTTTATCTATCGGCGCCCTTGGATAACACGGCTGTGGGGTATTTTCGGAAAAGGCATAATAATACGATATGTTCACATATTCTATATATACTATACAGCATTGAAAACGCACCAGCAATAAATCTTGAAATATTACCAAAAAAACTTGAGCAATGACCGATTTTAATTAGAACAGACATAGGCGGATTATTAAGAAAGACGACAAAGAAAACAGGAATACCACACAGTAATTACATTTAAGTCATCAGTGTAAGGAAGACACATAGGGTTAAAATGAAAAGTCAATATCTGGTATGTCCGTCATTGGCAGCAACACAGGCCATGCAACGTCTTCTCATTGATCGAATATGTCTGCGAATAGTGTTCTGGGGCATTCCACTCTTGACGTAGTGTATCTTCAAGTTCTCTCAGGTTCTGTACTTGCGGACGACGTGAGTGGCGTTCACCCACATCATTGTTCGCTAGGTACTGTGTTGAAACACGTGCTGTGTGGGCTCTTGCATTATCTTGCTGGAAGGTGTGCATATCCTGGTGCTGATGAAAGAATGGGATGACGTGATTTGCCAATATGTTATTCCTGTAGTAAAGGGCATTAACTCTTCCATGACAAACATGGAGCTCTGTTCGATGGTTATGACTGATGCCGCCCCCCCCCCCCCCCCCCCCCCAATCGATCTGTCTGTACAACGCAGTCATTGTGGTAACGTTCTCCACGTCGACGCCACACGCGCAGTCGACCGTCAGCATTCCGTAAATGAAAACGGGACTCATCAGAGTACAGCACACCATGCCACTGCCGCAATCTCCAATGAAGATGATTTTTGGCCCAACGTTCATTTCGATGTAGATCAGTGAGTATGGGTCCAACATATGGACGTCGAGCACGTAGCTCTGCTGAGCGGAGACGTCGACGTACGGTGTCAGCGCTGATTAAAACCCCGTCGGCCTTGTACGGTTGCTGCAGTCCTGGTAGCCGGAAGTGTACGATCACGAAGATGCCGACGAACAATATGGCGATCCTGACGTGGTGTAGTTACACGACGTTGACCCGGACGTGGTCGATCTCTGGTGGTTCTTGTCTGCTGGTATCTGCTCAGTAGCCTGAGGACTGTTGAATGATGGCATCGAAACCGTTATGCAACGATTCTACTTGACGTACCAACTTGAAGCATGCCCAAGGCACGTTCACGTTCCTCTGCTGTTAATCTTAGCATTTCTTGTGTCAGTGCCCTTTACGTCTGCAGCAACAAGTGATGTGGCTTTTAAAAGTCTGTCTTTTATAGCCCTATTCTGCATGCTTCCCGTGAAACAAAACACGTTTTCCATGATGTGCACGCAATTTGTTGCGTTTAGGCGATGTCGCTCACAAAAAATTAAGGAATGTGTTTTGACGAGCTGTTCTTCTTCATGCTTCGTCCAGAACGTCGTATATTACTCATTCACTATATATTTTCATATGACTTAAGCCCGGATAAAAATACATCGATTTTCATGGTGGTGCGTTTTCAATGATGTTCATTATATATACTTACCTGACTCACATAGTCTATATATATACTTACTTGACTCACATATTCTCTATATATACTTACTTGACTCCATCTCTTTTTACGCCGAATTTTTTTACTGTCTTTGAGGTGGACGATGAGTTTGTTATCATTCGGCAAAGTAAATTCTAGCTTGCCTCCATAAGGTGTTTTTACTTTCTTGGGCGATTCTAGCGTTATATCAACCTCAGAGAGCACCTCTCTGCAACACATTGACATAATACAAATTAAGATATGTATTAAAGTCAACTCATTTACATATTAACACCTTTGTATTCTTTACTCAGATGGTCGTCAGTGGCCAAAGGTCAGTACCGTATTTCCTCTATTAATAGACGCCGGGGCTCTAATAGAAGCCGGGGCTCTAATAGAAGCCGGGTCAAGTGTTCAGTGCAAAAAATAGAAGCCGGGCCTCTAATTAACGCCGGGTCAGAGGCTTGTCCGAAACAAATAGAAGCCCGGGCGTCTAATAGAGGAAATACGGTATTAAGCAATTATCATTTAACTTTGCCTTCTCTTCTCTTCTGTACCGGCTCTGGTAGTGGAGCTTCTGTTCGGAGATCGGAATGTCGGCGGATCGATCCACAGGCCACGTCAAGGAACATTTTGTTTTTCACCAAACTAGGTGACAGCGGATCTCACAAATAACTGTCTATATTGATCTTCGATCTCTAACTATGTCTAATGTCTACAACTTTTAAACACATAGTTCCATGCCTCTAGCTAACGTAAAAAAAACGTGATAGACACTTCCGGGTTTACATCCGGGATATACTAGTATATGCAGTACGACCCTAACATAAGGTGATCTTAACCCTTGTTGGATGTCAAATTCTATTCCATTGTTGATACCATCGCAGTGGTCATGTCTGTCAAATCTGGTCAAATCATTGTCATAATGGTTGGGATGAAAGGGATTTCAAGGGGATATCTATCATTTGAGTATTCCTGTAGAGTTCCAGTTAATTTGTGTATGTCATTTCAGAACAGGTTTAGGTCAGTGGCATTCAAAGTGACCTTGACATTTGACACAACCATGGAATGTGACATTTACAGTAAATCCTGCATTAACTTAAAAAAATTCACACAATTAATATTTATACTGTGTATTTTGTTGACCTTGACCTTTTTTTAATCTAAAGACCCATAAAATCTAAACGGATCCAGAACTCACCCTTGAGATTACTGAAATTAAATTTAATCAGATTTCCATGATAAATACAAACTGCACAAAAAGTGATGTGTTGCCTTGTATATTGTATTACTGCAATACGATGACGACGGAAAACAACCGAGACTTGACCAGACAATCCAGTGACACGATAGCCCGTTTTACTGATTTTGAATTACCTGTGCTGCGTACATGTGCGAGTGCAAAAAGTGTAACATATTTGCTGTAACATATTAATCACTGGATTGTCTGGTCCAGACTCGATTATTTACAGACCGCCGTCATGTAGCTGGAATATTGCTGAGTGCGACGTTAAACAACAAACCAACCAACCAACATTGGAGAAGTATGGGTGTTATTGAAGCAGGTGCGCCGATCCATCAAGGTGAAACGCCTAAAAAATCCGTCGTGGGATTCTGCTTCACCAGGACAACGCACCAGTCCACACGAGCCGTGTTGCAATGCCAGCTGTGCAAGAATGTGGCTACGAACTCCTCCCTCACCCACCCTATTCTTCAGACCCAGCCCCCAGTGACTTCCACCTCTTTCCCAGCCTGAAACAAACACCTCCGGGGTCGGAGATTTGAAGATGACGATGAGCTAACTGCTGCTGTGGAGGGTTGGTTAGGGGACCAGAATGTTGACTTCTACCGATCGGGCATCAGTGACTGGCAAACTAGGTGGAACAAGTGTGCGGAGTTGGGAGGGGACTATGTTGAAAAATAAAGTAGTAACAATCCAATTCTATTACTTTTTCGGTGTGAGGCTCAAACCTTTTTGATATCCGCTCGTAACTATACTGGAACCCACCTGCATGCCTGTTGCATCGCCATGGCGAGACGCCTAACATACATGTTGATTGTCCTCTTTGGCCCTTTCCCACAGAAAGCATTGTCGAAGAATATGTTGGCTGTAAATGTAAAATAGATGGCGTAGTTCATATAGCATATAGCATATTGCTATCCATGAGGGTAAAATGATCGTATGGAATAATTTTTGGTTACGTATATTAGCGATTATTAAAGCCGATTGGTCAATTAAAGCCATATCACGTCCCAATGTCTCCTGAAGGGGGCCGTGACGATCCGGGGTAGAATAGGTCTTCAGCAACCCATACTTGCCGTGAAAGGTGACTATGCTTGTCGTAAAAGGCGACTAACGGGATCGGGTGGTCAGACTCGCTGACTTGCTTGATGCATGTCATCGTGTCCCAATTGCGTGGATCGATGCCCATGATGTCAATCACTGGATTGTCAGGTCCAGACTCGATTATTTACGGACTGCCGTCATATAGCTGGAATATTGCAGAGTGCGGCGTTAAACAAATAAATACTGTAGATGATAAATACGATATCACCAAACTTGCATCACTTGGGCTTTTCTCCAACGTCAAGGTGACACACCTGACGAGATATACCTGATATGTTCAAAGCGGCGTTAAACCATTCTCACTGTATGCTTACCATCAAACTTATAGTGGTCTTTTGATTCCATTCCAAAAGCCTCCCTTGCACAGAAATTGGACTGATGAAGATCCAACCTGTAAAATATATATATAAAAAATATACACCCTCATAATCACCCAATTTATTTTCAGGTAGTGCATATGAAACGATAGCTTGTAAAAAATGCAATGCGTGCAAAACTACAAAGGAAATTTATATACAACCAAATTTCAAATTATGAAAACGTGTTACAACAAACACTTACGATTTTATGCAAATTGTGTGAGTGGGGGGCGAACCCAGCAGGGCAGGACAGGCTTATCCCTTCGCGAACACCTGGTGTCATCACTGATTTTCAGTGATCACTCATTTCCTTTCCGCCGATATTTTCCTTTCACGCCCAATGGATTTTGTTTCGTCGGATAATCGAGCCTTGGTTATTCTCTTGCGGTGACGTTTTATATTATATTTGTAGGTACGTGAAGACCCGGGGTAGAATAGGTCTTGAGCAACCATGCATGCCGTAAAAAGGCAACTTGTCGTAAGAGGCGACTTACGTGATCGGCTGGTTAGGCTCGTTGACTTGGTTGATGCATGTTATCGAATCCCAATTGCGTGAATCGATGCTCATGATGTCAAACACTGGATTGTCTGGTCCGGACTCGATTATTTACGGACCGCCGTCATAAAGCTGTAATATTGCTGAGTGCGGCGTTAAACAACAACCAAACAAACACAGTTTTAGTGGGCATGGGCAGATAACTGGTGTTGGCAGTGGGCACTAACCTTATGTCGGCTTCAATATCTAATTTGAATTTTCATCAGTTGCCCTGTGTTGACCTCCAAACGTGGATCCGCCTGTCGTTGTTTTTATTCAAATTCAGCCTCAGACAATTTGATCGGTATTTCTTAAGTTAACCTAACAATGTTCATACCTCAATATGGACTTGATCAGATGTAACATAACTCAACATGGACTTGATCAGCTGTGCAATACCTCAATATGGACTTGATCAGATGTAACATAACTCAATATGGACTTAATCAGCTGTGCAATACCTCAATATGGACTTGATCAGATGTAACATACCTCAATATGGACTTGATCAGCTGTAACATGCCTCAATATGGACTTGATCAGCTGTAACATGCCTCAATATGGACTTGATCAGCTGTAACATGCCTCAATATGGACTTGAACAGCTGTAACATGTCTCAATTTGGACTTGATCAGCTGTGACATACCTCAATATGGATTTGATCAGCTGTAACATACCTCAATATGGACTTGATCAGATGTACCATACCTGAATATGGACTTGATCAGCTGTAACATACCTAAATATGGACTTGATCAGCTGTAATATGCCTCAATATGGACTTGATCAGCTGTGACATACCTCAATATGGACTTGATCAGCTGTGACATACCTCAATATGGACTTGATCGGCTGTAACATACCTCAATATGGACTTGATCAGATGTAGCCTACCTCAATATGGGCATGATCGGTGCCCTATTCCTAAATATGGACTTGATCAGCTGTAACATATCTCAATATGGACTTGATCAGCTGTAACATACCTCAATATGGACTTGATCAGCTGTAACATACTTCAATATGGACTTGATCAGCTGTAACATACCTGAATATGGACTTGATCAGCTGTAACATACCTCAATATGGACTTGAACAGCTGTAACATGCCTCAATTTGGACTTGATCAGCTGTGACATACCTCAATATGGACTTGATCAGCTGTAACATACCTCAATAAGGACTCGATCAGATGTACCATACCTGAATATGGACTTGATCAAATGTAACATACCTCAATATGGACTTGATCAGCTGTGACATACCTCAATATGGACTTGATCAGCTGTGACATACCTCAATATGGACTTGATCAGCTGTAACATACCTCAATATGGACTTGATCAGATGTAGCCTACCTCAATATGGGCATGATCGATGCCCTATTCCTAAATATGGACTTGATCAGCTGTAACATATCTCAATATGGACTTGATCAGCTGTAACATACCTCAATATGGACTTGATCAGCTGTAACATACTTCAATATGGACTTGATCAGCTGTAACATACCTGAATATGGACTTGATCAGCCGTAACATACCTCAATATGGACTTGATCAGCTGTAACATACCTCAATATGGACTTGATCAGATGTAACATACCTCAATATGGACTTGATCAGATGTAGCCTACCTCAATATGGACTTGATCAAATGTTACATACCTAAATATGGACTTGATCAGCTGTAACATGCCTCAATATGGACTTGATCAGCTGTGACATACCTCAATATGGACTTGATCAGCTGTGACATACCTCAATATGGACTTGATCAGATGTAACATACCTCAATATGGACTTGATCAGCTGTGACATACCTCAATATGGACTTGAGCAGCTGTAACATACCTCAGTATGGACTTGATCAGCTGTAACATACTTCAGTATTGACTTGATCAGCTGTAACATACCTCAATATGGACTTGATCAGCTGTAACATACCTCAATATGGACTTGATTAGCTGTAACATACCTCAATATGGACTTGATCAAATGTAACATACCTCAATATGGACTTGATCAGCTGTAACATACCTCAATATGGACTTGATCAAATGTAACATACCTCAATATGGACTTGATCAGCTGTGACATACCTCAATATGGACTTGATCAGCTGTAACATACCTCAATATAGACTTGATCAGCTGTACCATTTCCTTCTGCTCCTCTTGCCACATGGTGGCACACAGGTGTATCATCGGGGTGTCAGTCCACATGGCCTGCTTCAGTGGTTCTGCCTGTGAGGGGGGATGAGTAGGTCGAACAAAGATCACAATGGTATAGTTTGGGAAGGAAGTTGTCTCACGTTCAGTTAAATTAAAACAAACAGAATCAGTATTTTATCCCGAAAGGGGTTCTTTTGCTGCAGAAAGGTGTAGACTTAAGTAAAATGTCATGAAAGCTGCCAGGCAAAATAAAATATACACCCATGGTGTTTGAAGGTTTTCTCTTCACCACAAGTGAATTCCCTCTGATACACGTTTCTGCGCAATAATCAATAGATAAATGTCTTTTTAAATGAAACAATGATTTATCTTAATAAAACGATGGTATCTCTTTACGAAAATAAATAAATTTTGTATTGTCTATTTGTATCGGCTTTGACACAAATAAAGAAGTGAAGTCGCCAATGTCTTGATTCTGTCGCAATCGTTTGGCAAGTTAACGCTGACGGTTCTGATGACCTACCCACTGCTCTTCCCTGTTCCTGTTGAGAATCAAGGATGAATCAAGCAGCACCCCACAGTATAGGGGCTTCTGGAACAACCTGAAACACGTCATGTCATAATACACAGGGCATTCGGTATGGCAGACTTATTAGGGACAGACCATTTCATCTTGGGGAAGGGGGTGGTATTTAGATACTTTCTCAGCTTCAACTGCAAAACTAGACATGTTTTTAATTAAAATCTACGAGCCCTGAATGAGCAGATCCATCCATATCTTTTAACCCATGGTATTTGGTGAAAGGTATTTGTTATGATTATGGAAATGGTTTCGTCGCTGTTATTTTGTTGTTACACAGCGGGCCTTACTAATACCTATCTGTAATCATTTCTTGGGGAAGGGGGATTTTGGTTTCAGATCAGCATTTTTTTCTTAACGTTTAGGTGCTCAATTATTATTTTTAACTAAATAGAAATAACAAACTGTATTCTCGGACACCTTAAAATTCTGTACAGGATGGTCAGACGTTTTGCTGATACTAAAGTAAAGTTACCATAGCGACTTACTTTTCGTAAGTGTCTGAATGTGTAAATGACCTCTAAAAGTATAAGGGTGGCACGGGTGGCCCAGTCGTCTAAGGCGCCGCGATTCGCTGTGCAGAGTTGCGTCCCCTGGGCACGCCAGAAACCTATGATTTTGGATTTGAATCACGGTTCGCCCCGATTATGTTTCTAGGTTTGTCAGCACCATACCCGTGCTCGTCGGTTTCACCGAAATGGTAAACCTGCATCACTTCGGGCTTTCCTCCCACATTAAGCTGACACGCCGTGATATAACTGGAATACTGTTAAAAGCGGCGTTAAACCCAACTCACTCACTCACTTCTCTAATATAGTTCTTACCTGCTGGTAGGCGTCATCCTGTTGCACTTTGGGGTCCATATGTGCAACCCTATACCGAATACGAGATATATAATCGAGGTAATTCCAATAGGAATCCAGTAGACATAAGTATACGATGTCACTACCGTTAGTAAATCATTGGCATGGAAATAGTTTTCTATCAGTGTTGTCCCCATGACTTTGTTGACATAATCCGCATGCAGAACAGCGTACCCAAGGGCACAAAGTGTTGCTGGGAATGACAACAGCAATGGAACAGCAAAGCATAGTTCTTGTGCTAGTATTTTGCAGGCGTACTTCGATATCTTGTAGCATACTGCACTTGACACCACACTTATAGCTGCAACCATCCATGGTAGGGATAAGGATTCGTTCACAAGAGTCACGTCAGCATTGAAGGTACATCCACTGCCCCGGGTCTTGACAAAGAAAAATGTTCTCCAACACTCAACACTGCCATGGTTGAAATACACTGATGCTAATAGAAGTGTGACACAAACTTTAAACATAGAAATACACATATGTGCTCTTGTAGCACGCTTGCCAACTTCTGTCTTCACCCAGCTTAAACATCTGAAGTTGCTTGAAGCTCCCCTGCCAGAATGGTTGGTTCTCGTTGCTGGAGGAACACTTGTGTTGGTGTGAGTTCCCCGTACATCATTTGTGGGCGTATTCTGTCCATGGTGTTGGGAAAGTTTGGGTACAAAATTATCCCAGTAGGAGATTGAGATGAGGACAAGTGAGATGGGCACGAGACAGGCCAGCAAGACAGACTGCCTCACAACGTAGATCCGGTAGGTGAGACATGTAATGACTCCCGAATGGAGAAGAAACATTAACGTGTTCCAGAGTCTTAGAGAACAGCTCTTGTTGATGCAACTGCTGTGGCAGTCTCCATCACCACATCGACATCCAACAGGCTGGACAATCTTTAAAATCCCCGGAACTGTTCCCACACTCACTGTCAAGATCAATCCAGTGATCGGGTCAAAACTAGGAAGGACATAGAAGATGAATAGGGTGAGACCTCCAGCGTGAAGCACTTCCGGTATAAGGGCCTGCAAGGAATTGTAACAAAATAGTTCTGAATAATCTGTATTCACTGTATATTGATACATCGTCACTGAAATTAGGTGTTCTTGGACAACAGTTATAATTAGAGTGAGTGTGTGAGTATGGTTTTACGCCGCTTTTAGCAATATTCCAGCAATATCACGGCGGGGGACACCAGAAATGGGCTTCACACATTGTACCCATGTCGGGAATCGAACCCGGGTCTTCTGCGTGACGAGCGAACGCTTTAACCACTAGGCTACCCGACCGCCCCGTTATAATTAGAGGGCAATAAGCGTGAATAAGTGCGTCAGCATTGAACAAATTATACCTTTTCAGAATTATCTCCTCGAAATCAATGGGTGTGGGTAATAGATACATGTATGCAATATTTCCATAAAGTTTGTTCCTTCAGTTGTATACATATTAACTCGATGTCAATGATACACTGATACATTATCGGGGGCACGGGTGGCCCAGTCGTCTGAGACGCCGCGATTCGCTGTGAAGAGTTTCGTTTCTTGGCCACGCCAGACGCCAGAAACCTATGATTTTGGGTTCGAATCCCGGTTCGCCCCGATTATGTTTCTTGGTTTGTCAGCACCATACCTGTGCTCGTGGGTTTCACCGAAATGGTAAACCTGCATCACTTCGGGCTTTCCTCCCACATTAAGCTGACACGCCGTGATATAACTGGAATACTGTTAATAGCGGCGTTAAACCCACCTCACTCACACACTCACTGATAATTATCTTTGGACTATTTATTGGGAGGCACTCAAAAAGAATATGGCGTTTCATAATCCTGAATTCACAATCGTGAGCTATGTTGTCAAAATGTATTTCCTACCAAGATGAGTGACGGTAGGTGCAGTTTGCCAAGGTTCATGGTGAGCATCCTCCAAAGGCATGAAAGGATAGTGAAGATATACGGAAGGATCATCACGCAAAGTAAGGCCCATATCCAATTGACATTGATGACCAGTTCGCTGGTGGACTCCGTGAGATTTGTGCCCTTGGGATTCCTGAATACGACATCAACGTCTCTGGATACGTGGATGTTGGACACCATCATCAGGAGGGACAGCTTGGAGGAGGTGGCTGTGAGGAGCACCAGACAAAAGAAGAGACTGCAGACAATGACGCGGATGATTTTGTACAGCAGGTCCCAGTCTTCTAATTCCGAAGAGCTGTCGCGATGCTTGTCGTGGGATGTTGGAGTGGTATCCCATCCCGCAGGTGCTCTGTAGAGAACAATTTCAGCATCATGTTTCCTTGAATTGGGGCGGTGGGGTAGCCTAGTGGTTAAAGCGTTCGCTCGTCACGCCGAAGACTGAAGTTCGATTCCCCACATGGGTACAATCTGTATGGCTAATTTCTGGTGTCACCCGCCGTGATAGTGTTGGACTATTTCTAAAAGGGGCGTAAAACTGTACTCACTCATTCTTTGACTTGTGTTAATAAACAAAAACTATTTCACGTTTGGGCCTTCCTCACACTGGAGGGGCACGGGTGGGTCAGTCGTGTAAGGCGCCGCAATTCCAGTTGCATCCCTTGGGCATGCTTATGATTGTGGGTTCGAATCCCTGTTCGCCCCGATTATGTTTCTAGGTTTGTCATCAGTGACCAGCATACTACCCGTGCTCATGGGTTTCACCAAAGTGGTAAACGTCTGAGACCTGCATCACTTCCGGCTTTCCCCCGACAACAAGCTGACACACCGTGATATAACTGGAATACTTTTTAAAGGGGCATTAAACCCACCCAATCACTCCCACACTAAACTGACATGACCGTGATACAACTGAAATACTGTTAAAGCTGTATTTAAATTTACTCATAATATATGACACCACAAAGACCTCTGAATAATTCCTTAAAGAATCGTTTAAAGCAACACACACCGGTACAAAATAACCCAGTCATGCATATATTCGTATGAATTTCATCTTTCTTATTCATTCTAGGGATAATTTGCAAGACGGTACAACGCTTCATGTATCCACTAGTGAGTGGGCGAGTTTGATTTTACGCCGCTTTTAGCAATATTCCAGCAATATCACGGCGGGGGACACCAGCCATACAGCTGGACCAAACAATTGCCAATGGTTATTTATTAACCAAGAGCACAGTCAACATTCACAATTACTTTTTGAGATGCGAGGGACGAACTTTAGTGAACACTACACATTAGATATGACAACTAGGTTGTATGTGCCCATGGTACATACCGGTGCTCCGTTTTGTCGCTGGAGTTTGTGCTGGGGACATTATCCTGATCACCATTTTCAGAGCTGTGATAGAAACATGCAACATGTCAGTGCTAGATGTCTTTCAGAGAACAAAGAAGACAAAGTCATCGATATCCCCCGCAATTGTGAATAAATATATGAAACTTGTTGCCATGGAAACTCGAAAATAATTTGTTTTAAAAATCCTAAACTGTCAAAAGCACCAGTTCACCACTAGACATATCTATGTGCCAAGTTTGGTGAAGAAATATTTCCGGTTTTCAGGGTCTGCACCAATAAGGAGCGCTGCCCCAATTTTAAGTCTTAGACAAAGATGTTGGTATGGAAACTCGGAAAAATACTTTTTACTAAATCTCAAACAATAAAAAAGCACCAGTTCACCACCAGACACTAAACTCTAATTACAAAGTTGGTGAAGAAATAATTTACGGTTTTGAAGATCGGCTTCGCAAACGAGCACAACCGCAATTTCGAGCCTAGGTCAAACTCGAAAAAAATGTGTTTTCAATAATCCCAAACTATCAAAAGGCACCAATTCCCCACTAGACCTATCTACCAAAAAGGGATATATACTACTCACTAGAAGTGAAGGGCCACCGGATTCTTGCATATTACTATAGTGAATCTTTCATGGCATCGGGTGGTCCTTAACGTCTTTTGAGTGGTACATGATGGGTCAGTAAGTCCAACTAAATACCTCTTACACTGAATTATAACTAGACTGCTTAGGTAATTTTCGGAATACAATAATAGCCCCACCATCGGGCGCGCAACTTTTCAAAGCTGACCGTCCGTCAGCAAAATAGACCGTCTCAGATTGTCGGTCAGGTGGGTATTTTAAACACTGCTATAAATAATAGCTAGTCCAAAACCCGAGATTATTGATTTGATCAAAATCACTCCCTGGGTTCAGAGTCACGCATTTCAAGATGTCTAGAACGGACTATGATTAATGTAATAAAAGTCAAAACAAAGGAAAACGTGCTTGTGCCAAATGTACATATTGGTGTCCTGTGCTGCCACTGGACGTGGGTGGTGAGGAGGCTGGGTGCTGGCTGTGGGAGTACAAGACACGCCAGCAAAACTGCTAAAACTCACCTTGCTGATGTTGGCAGTCGGGTTATTCCATCCTGGTCACCATTTTCATAGGCGTGATTCTCGAAAGTCATTAGCGACACATGCTGTAGGGGAAATAATAGTAACTGTTCATATTCAAATTCTTCAGAATGGCCATCATCCCGAAACAAGGGAGTTAACTGACTCTCAAAGTCCAGTTTCCACCCTATACGAACTAGGCTGGAATTACTGGGCTCGATCGTAGCGCAACCAGTGGCTATTACCAGTTATGTCCCTTCTAAGCCTCTCCTATGGACCAATCAGATTCCACCTCTCGTATCACTTGCGTTTGCTTCACACAAAATGATGGCGCCCAGTCAGGACGATCTGATCGATAATCAAGATCTATATTGTGATCACACGGGTCTTACATCGCGAAATGCATCAAATCACGTGAGCACCTCCATAAAAACATGAAAAGATTTGGAAAATATCGGCAGACAACGAGTTGGCGGTGCACATGCTTTGCAAATCCTGCAATCGACCGAAATCTGCACGACAGTTTACGAACCGGATTTCGATTTCGATGCGCGATTTTGATTGGACTATCCAAAGACTCGTTAGTCCAGCCAAACTGTAACTCCATAATACCAGCCTAGTTCGGCAAGGGTGGAAACTTGACTTTTAAAGTCAGTTAACTCATGCCTCGGGCAGATGCAATTTGTCTGGACTAACGAGTCTATGCATAGTCCAATCAAAATCGAGCAACGAACTAGACATCCGGTTCGTAAACAACATGGATTTAAAGGTGAAGATTTCAGTCGACAGCAGGATTTGCAAAGCATGTGCACTGTCAACCTGGCGTCGAGAGATATTTTCCAAATCTTTTCATGTTTTTAATCAAGATGCTCAAATGATTTGATGCACTTTGCGAGGTAAGACAAGTTTTACTACAACATAGGTCTTGATTATTGATAAGATCGTCTTGACTGGGCGTCGCCATTTTTTTTAAGCAAGTGCAAGTGATCTGATCAAGATGGAATCTGATTGGTCAATAATAGGAGGGACATAGAAGGGACACAACTCGTAATAGCCACTGGTGGTGCTACGATGGAGCCACGAATTGCCAGCATAGTTCAGCAAGGGTGGAAATTGAACTGTTGTTGGCAGTTAACACCTCTGGAAGATGTCCTTATATATCATGTGGTCAACTTTCTAGATGGCGTTTGGCACCATAGTTGTTGAAGATTTTCCTGTTCATTATATTTAAAGGTTATGACAAGACCGTTTTCACATTAAACCTATAGCAACCCGAGATCCACATATCAGATCAAATCAGCCCGAGGGCTGGAGTCTCGGGTGAATATGGGGTATAATATGAAAACTGTTATATAATACCCTTTTTTTATCATAAACCATGACATGAGATTGTAAAATGTATCTATTTGCAAGTCAGTGCAATACATTTTCACCTTAAACAATGGCACCCTAGTCTTTGACCCTGTATTAACTGACTGAATTATCAGTTAGATACTAGACGGGCACTGGTCAGCTCCACCGAGAAAGAGGAAATATCGCCCAATCGACACCGGCCTTCAATCCTTGAAGAACGAATTGTTCAGAGCCAACTTGACAGAAACCCGAAGAGCTACAGATAAGCAGCGTATTTGCATTAAATACCCCCCCCCCCCCCCCCCCTCCCCATATATATATATATATATATATATATATATATATATATATATATATATATATATATATATATATTCAAAAAACAAATACTTTCAATTAACTTGCGTACAGAAGCTAATGCATTAAATGAAAGACTTAAATGTATAAAAACAGCACGCGTAAATACCCATTGGAGCTTTAAATGTATAAAAACAGCACGCGTAAATACCCATTGGAGCTTTTCATCATACATACAAAGGAGCTAATTTCTGAAACACAATCATTAGCTAATTTAATTACTTAATTTCCCAGTCACGTCTCACGTCTCAATCAGTAAAAACTCAATTAATCAAAACATTATCTGGAGCTCTGTATTCCTAAACACCGGCCACGTATAGACATTAACTGAAGACCAGTTCTTCGGCGATAATGTAACCAACATTACCGTCCAAGAATTGTTACACTATCAGAGACCAAATAAGTGTTATTTTTACATGTTATACGGTATGATGTATATAAATTATATCAACCGTGAACTCCTTGATCTTGAATTATCTCCTATAGTAACGCAAAATCATCACTCGCGTAATCAACGAACCTGAACTATGGCCACGAAAGCTACACATAAGTTTACCTATACAAATTAGTCAAAATTAAGCTTTCTCGGCTCATTACCTACGTACCGTATATAAACAGATGACAGTGTGTACAGAAAATAGATCTCATGATGACAAATGTCATTCAGCTTTCAAACAGACCCCGAACATATACTCAACAACAAAAGTTCCTGTGCCACCAATATTTTAGTGTATAAAGTTTGGTTTTCAATATTGTAGTTCATGTATGGAATCAAGTCACAAAAACGTAACTGCTACAGAAAAGCATGCATTCCATGCAAAAGTTGACTTTTATGCAAGCCCGATGCACTTCACTACCCAAGAATGTGTATAAAAACATGTACGTTAATGGGATTCCATATGCATTGTTTAGCATCGTGCTGACAACAACCACTCAGAAAAACAACAAAATAACGCAATTATTCAACATCAAGAAATGCCATGCCTGTCCGAAAATGAGCGTCTGCGAGCCATTGGTATGCTTGAAGCAGGATCGAGTCAACGTGATGGTGCAAGACAATTTAACGTCCACAGAAGCACCATTTGGTGTTTATGGCAACGTTGGCAACAGACGAATGCAGTCAGAGACCATCCTCGGAGTGTCAGGCCACGCGTAACCAATAATCGACAAGACAACTGGATTCGAACAACACACCTACGAAATCGATTCCAGCCAGCAACAGTGACTGCAAGAAGCATCCTTGACCTTCGACGAATATCTTCACAAACCGTACGTCGTCGCCTCAGATGTGCAGGGATTGTCACCAGAAGACCGGCCAGACGTCCTATTTTGGCAGGAAACCACCGCCAAGCACGTCTACAGTGGTGCAGACAGCGTCTACGCTGGACAGCCATGCAGTGGGGACAAGTTCTATTCACTGGCGAGTCTCGTTTTCACCTCAGGCACAGCGATGGACGGATTCGAGTGTACCGACATCGAGGTGAACGTTACGTCAATCATTGTGTCATGGAAGAAGATCGGTTCGGGGCGGCAGCGTTATGGTATGGGATGGGATTACAGCAAGACAGAGGATCCGTTTGAAAGTGGTAGAAGTGTTCTACCGTTTTTGCGTCGTCATGGCCAAGGCATAACCTTTCAACATGACAATGCCCGGCCTCATATTGCTCGACTTGTTCAGGATTCTCTTCAACAAACAACGTGAATATCATCCCCTGGCCGGCTCGGTCCCCTGATCTCTCACCAATCGAGCACATGTGGGATGAGATGGATCGGCGCCTTCGACGTCAACCACGTGTTCCACAGACACTCCAGGAACTTCGAAACATGCTCCAGCAGATATGGACAGATATCGCACAGGACTTTGCGCGACGCCTGGTCCATTCCATGAGACGAAGATGTGTTGCTTGCATTGCAACCAGAGGTGGACACACACGCTTTTGATTTGTAAATTGACATTTTGGCATGTTCATGTTGTTTTTTTATGAAATCACGCATTTTCTGAAGTCAGTATGGCAAATTAAACCATTTGAACACTTACATGAGTCTTTTATCTGTTGCAAACCGAAATCGTTTAAGATTTGGTAAAAAACATAACTTTGCATTAAATCTTATTCAATGTCACAGGAACCTTTGTTGTTCAGTATATAACGTACGCGTGTCGAAAAATTGAATTGACCTCGGAAGGTGCCGTTCGCCTCTGAACCTGTACGACATAAATACTCGTATGCATTGACTTCCAGTTTGCAAAAGTAAAAGAAAGTCTATGCAGTGTTCGAAATACCTGCCTGCCCGACCGTCCGAGACGGGTTGATTTCAACTCGGGCTGCCAGATTTTCCCCTGCCCGACGGTCGGGTTATATTTCATATGTAAAAATATTCTAAATATTTCCCGATGATAAGCATTATTTACATGATGTATTCTAGGATATTAAATACAAATCTGACCTAAAAAGTGTTTGCTATTTCTTTTCTTGCATTACTTCATGTTCAATGAATTGGATTTAAAGTTTTAATTAAATTATCCTGAGAAACATATGATTATAGGGGGCAGGCAGGTTTTGGTCAGGGCTGGCAAGTATTTCAGCTAGCCAGTCCTGTGGTCTGGCTGAAAATTTTGGGAGTTTCATACCCTGGTCTATGGTCACATTTCGTAATGGTACATGGGAGTTGGGTAAGCCCAGTGGTTAAAGTGTTCGCTCGTTACGCCGTAGGCCCGGATTCGATTTCCCACATGGGTACAATGTGTGAAAGCCACTTCTGGTGTCCTCCGCCCATCTTCCCGAGGCAAGAGAGTTAACTGACTTTAAAAGTCCAGTTTCCACCCTTGCCGAACTAGGCTAGTATTGTGGAGTAATATTTTGCCTGGACTAACGAGTCTGTACATCAATCCAATCAAAATCGTATAACGAAATCGATATCCGGTTCGTATACTGTCGAGCAGATTTCGGCCGATTGCAGGATTTGCAAAGCATGTGAACCGACAACTCGACGTCAACAGTTATTATCCAAACATTTTCATGTTTTTATTCAAGATGCTCAAATGATTTGATGCATTCGCACTTTAGAACATATAGCTTGACTATCGATCAGATCGTCTTACTGGACGCCGCCATTTTCTTTGAAGCAAATGCAAGTGATATGCGAAGTGGAATTTGATTGGTCAATAGGAGAGGCATAGAAGGGACAAAACTGGTAATAGCCACTGGTGGCGCTGCGATCGAGCCAAGAAATTCCAGCTTAGTTCGGCAAGCGTGGAAACCTGACTTTGAGAGTCGGGAAGATGTCCTCCGCCGTGATATTGCTTGAATATTGCCAAAAGCGGAATTAAACAATATTCTCTATCTTGTAATGGTAGATATGTAAAACAGCAACATTT